TTAATTAAATTAATTAAAATTTTTTGCTATTTTTCATTGTAAAGAAGAAAATGAATGACGATGGGCAATCTAATTGTAAATTATTCCCTAAATCTGTTAAGTAAATGCGTTTGGGAACGCGAAAGAGTGGAATATCTAAATAGCGATTGACGATTATCGGCGACTATTCAAAAAGTATTCGTAATGCAGACGCAGTCAATATTCTTAATGGTTTCGACAATAAGCGATTTCGCTTAATCGAAATATTTAGGTGTTGGGCATCCGGTTGTGCGCGCGTATTACGTCTTTCAACGAGCAACTTTCATCGAAATGCTGTTTTCCAGATGAACTTGGTGCCAAATTGATAGGAATTGCGCGACTCGTCGGAACTTCGGCCGAGCGATTACGCGTGTCGGCATGATAGCTCGAGAAATGCGCAAAGCGAGAGGACAAAGTTTGACTTCGAATTAAGCTGAGAGCCGAGAGATTAATTCTGATAAATTAAAATACGAACTCTGGATTTTTGCACGCTGCTGCGAACTGTTTTTCTCGATATTATCGCATTTCTCTTGGGACGCTACAAAATTTTACAGTACATAATGCAAATGAGTTGGATATATATTTTAGCAACTTCTCTTTATTGCATAAAGATTATCAGATGAAAAAATTAAGAAAAATGCATAAATTAGAAAATGCAATTAAATTTAAATATAGTAACTACGTATTAATTATATTTTACATAAGTATATATTTTATAAATATATGTGGTTTATTATAAAAATATTTTTTTAATAATATTTTCTTAAATACGATTTCTTAATAAAATATTCAAATCAAGAGAAAAATTCCATCATAAAAATTCTATTATTGAAATTTAGGTCACGACTTTTGGAATATATCGTATCACGTGTTCAGGTACGATCGTAATAATTTGTTTTAATTCGTAAAACTATTAATAGATCAAGATATATATACATTCAAGTTTTTTTTTTTTTTTAGTCGAGAAGCCGGCAAACGTAACGGGAAAGGATAGACAGCTCGAAATCCGCCACGCGAGACGAAGCAGCCACGATTGGCCAGGCAAAGCCGGACAGTACCCGATCTTTTATTTCGGTCTCATTCGAGGAGAACCGCAAACCTTCTCTTTATGACTTCATAAATCCCGTTTTTTTAATGCCACTTTAGCACTAAAGCTCGTTCATCCGCGGCATCGGTGTCGCTCTTGTCGCCGGTACACAATTCGGTACAGTTAAATCTCTCAACGCGCGAGACGTGAATCTATTCGCCGAATAAACCGCTGGGACGACCTGGAATTTGACGAGATAAAAGTATGTTTAATTGGAGGATGTAAAACGCGGGACACAGGGTGTTCCGAGATGCGTCGCCGTATCGAAAAATTTTATAGCGGGCCAAGAGAGAGAGAGAGAGAGAGAGAGAGAGAGAGAGAGAGAGAGAGAGAGAGAGAGAGAGAGAGAGAGAGAGAGAGAGAGAGAGAGAGAGAGAGAGAAAGAGGAGCGAAGAAATAGGCTGTGAAGTAAGATAAAACTGACAAGAAGTAACTGTATTTAAAAGTAGTATTTAAAAAGTATAAAAATTGTGTGTGCTGTTGAATTGAGTATTTCATTAAGAAAATAAGCCATCTCTTAGAGCCATCCATTAGAAATACTTGACTTTTATTCGAATACCTGTTGGGATTTAAGTGTTATAAATATTTCTTCATGTCTTTATTAGCGTGATGATAATTCAAGATGTAAAAAGATTTGCCAGTATAATTTTTTAAAGATCTTTTTTTTTCTCTGTGACATTAGGTAGAATTATAAAATAGTAGCTACATTAGCGAGAACACATTATTTTAATAACAATACTGAGATAAATCCTTTTATGCTTTTGCAAAAGAATGGAATATCAGAAATAATAATATGTTTGGATTTACACATTTCTAGTAATTAATTCATCATGTAATTCATCCAATCGTCGCGTAAACGTTATATCAGAATGCGGCGTCTTCGCGCGTTTCCAAACTCGATCAGATTTGTATGCATAATTAGAATTTTAATCATCTATATCTCGGATTAATTTTAATTCTAATTTAAACTTTAAGTCGAACGTATTCTAATTAAATTTCGGTTAAACTTTGTGACGGGGAATTGTTTTCGGTAACGCGCGGATGCTGTGCGGATCGACGGCGTGAGAGCGAATATTGTTCGCGCGATATATTTCAACGAATCCATTATATATGAAAATTTTTTTTTCCGCGTCCGCCATTATACATTGTTACGCGATGTCGCGTGTAATGGAGGTATATTGAAAAGAATGACCAAGAAATATGCACGTGTACATGAACCGCTTATACGAAGGAATTATGACGATATAGATAATTCTTTCGATACTTTTGCGTGCGTGTATGTGTTAAAGCATTCCGACATATCGCGTTTCATGGGCGAAATTAATTGCCGCATACCCATCGCGGGGAGATGTCCGACACAATTCAATTATTTCGTCATTTGAGGAAGTCATTAATATTTCAAATGTATCAAACGTATCGGCCGGCCGGCCGATACGTGCGATTCGCTTTAAATTGTCCGTTATCGTATTTCGTCACCTCGAATGTCACGTATTAATTGGGTGCATTTTTAATTATCCCTAACCGAGGCATGATGCGTACTTCTACACGCACCTCTTTCTTTCATTCTTTCTCTCCTTCACGTTTGGGAAATGAGTTTGGGTTTGGGAAATTAAAGTGGATCGACGGGAGGAGAGCGCGTCGATGGCGCATTATTTTCGACGCGGAATGATTTAATGGTGTAATATAAAAATACATCGAGCTTGTCGAACGCCGGGTTTTTCGCAAAATGGAGCATCGTTCCCTCGTGCGCGCGTCCCAGTTAAAACGAAAACCGATCATTTCTTTAGCACAAAATATCTTCGAGCGATCGCCCACGCGCGCGGTGGCCTCTTTCGCCAACGGAAATTAATTGAGATTGTCATTATTGGCAGATATTTCAAAATCGCGGCGGATATCGCGTGAAAGAAAAAACGAGGAGAATTCGACGGGAGCAAAAAAATAAAAAATAAAAAGAATAAGTCGCGAGATGCAACTGAGTGTAATTAAATGTCGTAAAATGAAAATGATGCTTGAAGATAAAACTGATAATAGTAAAATTCTTGTTTCCCACTAGCTCTGTTTCGATAGCATCAAGTTTAATCGACAGAAATTGCGATTTTTTTATTTCTAACACGTTCGTAATCATAAATTTTACGATATTTGCGAGTACTTTTTTCTTATATTAAAAAATTACGCGTCAAAGTTGACAGAAGTTAATAGACGAGATCAGTGACAGTCCTTCAATGAAACCAACATTTTTTAAACAGTGTAGATTCATTGCGTGACAAACTGTCATCACACGATGTCAAACAAACCCCTGGCGCCGCGCGACAAACATAAGTCACCAAGAACGGATGATATGGAAATCTAACGGTCGTCCATCATCCACAATCGACCTGATTTATCCGCAAGAGTCGTCGAAAAACCGTCCTTCACATTGATAAAGATTGCAAAGCGTACTTTAACGCGAAAACCGGACAGCAAAAACATAAAACAAGTGAACATTCTCGACTAAAAATTCGTTAATTTAATAGGGAGTATAAATTTTATGCTTATCTTCACTGAATAAATAAAAATCAAAGAAATTAATTTTTTAATGTGACTTAAGCTAAATAGTTTAAGAGAATCTAAAGAAATATTAATTTCAAATTAATAAAACTAAAATTAGATGTTTCCTGAGGATTTACCTTACAACTTGGGAAACTTAGATTTATTTTCGCAAAAATTCGTAAAAAAGGGACTTTGCACTGAGCTCTTCGTTTGCCTCATGACAGATTTATGTTAAAGGCAGTAGCGAAACGGTGCAAATCAAATAACGAGTAACTTGCTGCTTCAAAAGAAGCCTGTGAAGCTTCAATATCATGAATGCGCGCTTTCAAAGTACATTAAATAAATGAATATATACATATATAGTTTCAATATATATTTAATATATTATTTAATATACTAATTTAATGTACATATTAAATGCAAAACTTATTCATTTTAAATTGTATTGCTTTTACATTGTTATTAGACTAGAAACAAGTATGAGAAAACTTTACTAGAATTTATTTCTTTTATTTCTTTTCTTTTAATACAAGAAAATTTTAATGGAATTAATTTTTTCTTTCACTTTATTACAATTTACAGAATTTGTTCGTTCTAATTAAAAAAGCTGTCAAAACTAATAAGTTTTAATTTAAGATTGGTCAGAAACTCCGTTTCGCTTTTCAGTAAAACGTCTAACGATTTATCCGATAGATTTCTCAAATTGCTTTTGTCGTCGGTACACGCGGAAAGAGGGAGAAAAAAAATTAGTCACGGTCCCGTAGCTACCGACGTTAAAAATCTTTTACTTCCACCTCAGAAGGAGATATCCGTGGCGTTATCAGCGCGAATGTTAGTCGCCCTCAACGTCGTCGTCGCCCGTAGAACAGACTCACCGTGCAAAATCCGGTGATCAGAACCCTCCACATGATCTCGTCGAGCTATTTGTCCCTTTCTCACGTCGTTCACTTCCCCTCGTTAACTCGAGAAATGTTTACCAGACACTCGAGACACTCTTTCGAACCGGAGGACGCGCCGTCGGCAGAGGGATGCAATTTTGACGAAGACCCTCGATGGACTGAAGGCGCGTGCACCGAGTCCGGACTTCTTTCCCCCGGTGTGTCCGGCCGAGCAGGCTGTCCTCTCCGGCGAGAAGGGGCCGCGAGCGGCGGCAGAAGCCGGGGAACCAAGAGAGAACCACCGCCGCACCGGCCCGTCCATAGTACTGTTAATGCATGCTCAGTGCCTCCACTAACAACCATCCTCGCTTCGTGCCTCTCGCGCGCTCGTCCAGCGACGGCCTCGAACGAACACCGCGACTTCTGTCTTCGGACCAGGGGGATCCGAGGACCTGACCCGAGAGAATGACCAGACGTCCTAGTTTCCGAGGACATGTCGGGGCCTCTTCGAGATGCGCATGCGACCGTCCTAATCCAACTCGATCTTGCTCCGGTTGTCTCGTTCTTTGATCCTTCTGCGTTCCATCCGTTTGATAATTCATCAAATCACGATTCAACTTCCTCATCTATAATTTTGTACTCGGAAATTTTACTCTTTTACTTTTCTAATGTGAACAGTGTGAATTAACACATTGAAAGAATAAAGGATAATTGCTTGTTGTTATTGTAAAGTTTGAGTAAAGTTTCATTTATTTCGAGGTAATACATTATAATTTATTTATTTATAATTTTTTTCCAAACAATTTCTTAAAAAGGTGCAATTATAAAATTTAATTATATCTGTTGTAATTATTAAGGTTAATTTAATTATAAAATTTACACAGTTAAGAAAATATTAAGAGATAACATCTTGTTTAAAAAACAGCTAGAAGCGAATTTTCTATTGCACGAGTAAGAAGAACGCGTACATTTTTAAAATATACTATGCCCACTCCATCTTTTTAGCTTATTTTACGAAACGGTTATGGTTTATGATTATGCCTTGCTGCCAACGTTAAATCAAGTTACGGGACTGATCTACAGTCGCAAAAGAATTTCAACAATTTTGCTCCCTCTGTTTGCGGATGCATTTCGATCTGAGAAGACCAGCGGAACCAGCGAGTCGCGAAATATTATACGACTCTGACACGCATAATAGGTGAATTGTTTAAGCGGTTATTGACTTCCACTGGATGAATTCTGAATCAATATTTACCGATTGCAGAATATTATATTCAAAAGAGCCAAGCAAAAGGAAGTTAACGAAAAGTCACTATTTAAAGATTTAATTTTTCATATTTATTTTATTTTTGATTTTAATAATTAACAAAATAAACTATTAAAATTAGAAGATTAATAAAATTTCATTATAATCATTCGTTATAAGCAATGAAAATAAATGATAAATATTGATTAATTGTTGTAAATATTTAATAAATGTTTATAAATTTTATTTTATTTAACAGAAGAAAGAAAGTTTGAAAATAATTTTTAAAACGAGAAAGAATAATCGAGAATCAAGATTAAAGATCTTTTTCCGTTTTTTCCTCTTGATTAAAATTCACGCCGTAACAAAACACGTAACAAAGTGTTATCTATTAACTGCATTTTCATAACTGCAGCGTTAAACACAAAAACTTGCCTCTTTGTGTTGTCGCTCTTCTCTCTGGGGATGTGATATATCGCTACATGGAATAGTGGATTAAGTGCTTATCGGCGTCATGTGCTTCTGTAAAAAGTGAGAATGACGGTCCCGGCGCCGAACATTCGCACGGACTTTACTGTACTTGTCATTGACTGAGTGACTGATAGAGCACGATGCGGTGTCACGCATTCTCGAAACGCGCGTAGTCGCACCAGCAGTCTACTCGGGAACGAAGAAATTGCCCTTCCGTTATTTTTCGCATGCCTGCCCCGTCGTTTAACTCGAGAGAACGCGGCAGTTTTATTTTACTATGTATATTCGGTGAAATAAATCGTTTTTATCCTCGTTGCATACTGATACACATTGCGTATCATTTGTACTTTGGAATAATTCCCCGTACAATAATTGCGAGCGATTTGATTTTTTTAGAGAAGCATTTTGCTTATTTAATTCGTATCTGTTGCAAAAAAAAAAGTTGAAATGTATACATATTATTTTAATATATGCCATTCCATCATAGCGTATAATTAACTATAAATATGTAGAACTCATAATATGTAGAACTAACCAGGAACTTGCTAGACATGACGGATTTAAATTTACTCTGATTGTAAGCTTTAACAAATCCTCCATCTGCCTTCCGCAATGCATTTTAATTATAGTATACATTTAAAATATTTAACTTGAAAATAAATTATTTAAAAATGTTTTTTTTTTAGATTCCTCCCGCTCTTCTCGCGGCGCGGCGTAAGACTTTAAATCACGGCTCGTTTAACATGCATATAAATTCAGTTCCGCGACGTTCACGATTCTAGATTAATTTTCTCGCGGGCGGCGATGATCGAGGAGAAGTAGTCGTCCTCGTCCTCAGCTTCGGTCCGGTTGTCATCCGCCGATTCGCCGAGGTTCGTTATGGTCCGTGACGTTAGGAAGGCTCGCGTTGCACGCGCTGTTACATCAGCGACGTAATAGCCGGCGAGGCGCTAACAATTACGTCGTTAATCGTGAACTTGCTCGCGAGCGTGAGGCGAGCGAAAGGCCTCCGTCGATCGGAAGTCCGAGGCGAGCGAATTCTGCGAGCCGCGCGCGCGCGGCTCGCGGAAAAGAACGCGAGGTGCAAAAACTGCCTCGCTCGCGCGCCGCTGACCTCGCCGCTGCATCCGAACGCGTCTCTGCGCACACTTTTTTTCATCGCGCTCACGGTCACGGTAAGATTCATTCACGGCCGCGAATTCGACAAGAGCGAGCCGTTGACCGCGATAGATCCTGACGAGGATCTGCTTCCTAAACGACTCCGAAACCGCGAAACGCAAACCAACGCTCTAGTCCGTTAACTTAAATGAAGTTCTGCGATAATCAAGTTTCTTTAATACTTTAATGTATAAATCTGGTATAATTCTGTTATCCAGATAATTCTGTTATATTATATTATAATTATTACGCCGAGAAAATTAAAAGATTACCCTCGAAAATGGTTTTATTATTATTATTATTATTATTATTATCGTTTAAAATTATATTTCGTTGCTTCTGTCATTGATTCGCTGGCTTTGTAATTTTATTAAAAAATTTATATAATAATAACGGAATTATTAATTAATTTTAATTAATTTTAATATTATACGTGATATTTATTTATTTATCTAGAAAAATAATATTTTTGCACATCATATACAAATCAACAAAACTTTTAATTTACTCATATCGCTATTATATTTCCGTCACAGTCGATGTCAAGTCTCGTACGTGCCTATCAACTATTAGATTAATCAGTGTAAAAGCATGGTTGCAACTGTGTGCACGGACAATGACCGCTTCCGATACCTCAATTTACAGTGTAAATAAATACGTTTATTGACCACTCCATTTTCTACATTTTGTGCAGTGCGCGTATTATTCGTATATGTAAACAATTCATTCTCTTTCTCGTGATCAACGAAAAATAACAGATATCAATGTATTAAATTCTGCAAAATAAATTTTTAATCCAGTTTCCATCTCTAAAGAAAATCTTCTTTAATTCATCAATTTTTTGCAAGCTGCGATAATATTGTAGCGAGTTGAATTCAGTTTTTCGTGAAATGTCATTACGGGATTGTTTTGATCGCTAAAGTAAGTAAATGATTTTATTTGGACTTGATACAAAGCAATTTAAAAGAATATTGTGAAAGCGTCACATTAAGTTTCCACTATACAATTATAAACTCATTCTGAGATTAATTAACTGTACATTGTACTAATAACGTACAGTCAATTCAAAGAGTATGTAAAATTAAGAAAGAATTATTTTTAAAAATCTACTATAATTTTAAAAATATGATTTAACAATATATTCAAAATTTGTAAGGCATTTAAAATTAATGAATATTTAAAATTAATACTATATTTAATATTTAATTTTATTATTGAAAAATTTAATTAACAGAATATTGAAATAACTGGTTAAATTTAAAATAAAAAAAAAATTTTTCACTTTATATGGCATCGCTTATAAATATTCCCGAGTGTTATTGTAAATATAAAAACTTTATAATTGTTCTGCTTTTTCAATAAAGGAAATTTATATTATTAAATTTATATTTATATTTCACTTCTATTTATTATTATTAAAAATTGGCATCTCTTTAATCAAATATAATTATTTTATTTTATATCCAACTAGCACTTACATTTTTTCGATAATCTCAAATATATTTTTAAAAAATGTGAGAAACGTACCGCCGTTTGGTATTCGCAAGCAAGACTTGACGTAAAATAGACCAGACAATGGAAAATAGAGTGAGGCCTATAATTTCTTCCTACAACAAAGAGGTATTCTAGCTCTAGCTGGCGGGGATTCCGCAACGCGAATCGCAATATTGTTTCGTCTCATCTCTCTTCCCCTTCATTAGGTTGTTAGAGCGAGGTAACGAAAGCGGGGGCCGCGTGGCAGCGGTTAGCCAGCGTGTCATTAATTATCCCGATAGCTTCGGCGCTGCGCGCGCGTTATTATCAATTAAGGCAGCCCTCGGACGCGGCAATTTCCTTCGCGCCGCCTGTTACAGCGGCGATCGCGATACGAGCCATGGCTATTTTGCTCGCCACGCTCGGCCGTTCGCGAAAAGAAATTAGACAGGATGAAGGGCGATCGCCCGATAATCGCGTCCGCACGCGAGCGGATTGAACCCGTAGGGATATTATCGGGGTATCGCGAACCAAATGCGCCGATAAACCCGGATTTATTTGTTGCACTTGAACACTCTCTTATTATGTTCTCCATTGAATTATTCGCGAATTATATTTCTCGAAAATTATCTCCATGTAAAACAAATTTTAATTGTTGTATGATAACTTTGCGGATTAATCATAATAATTTATAATAATATTAAATTAAAGCGATAGCTAGAAAAAATATACATGATTCTGTTAAAAGAAAGATGAATTTACGATATTTGTTTACTAATACCAGGAATCCTATACAATTCTAATTGTTAATGCAGTTATGGTTACTTTGTATGAGAAACTAGAAGTATCTTTCGTAATGTATAGCATGTCTGCTTCTTAGCTACTAACATTTTCGCGATTGCTAAATTAATGTAATAACGCGGAAATACCTTTGGCGCTTCGTTTATTTCTAACGTTAAATAAGAGTAAGGCGGTTGGCTACAACCGTCGATTAACGCTCATCGAAGACATCCAACACGCGTGTGTAATTGCGGGCGCGCGATATAATTTTCTGTAAAGGAAATTTGCATCCTAGACTGCACAATTGCACACGAGTGCGTGCAAAATTACGAGGGAAGGCGGGTCTTAAAGCATTGCGCAATAATGACGCTGAGCGTAAATGAGCGTAAGAAAAACACAGTAGTAATGCTAATTATTTATCGGTTATATTATGCGCGGAGCAGAAGGAATCTCGCTTGTTCGTTCTTTTTATATCGCGCATCATCGCGCACGATAATTCCATTATTAGGATTATTACTAATTGAAATAACGCGCAGCCTGTAAACGTTAATAATGATCCAATCTTGCGTGTAACACATGTTAATGTATACGTTTTCGCTAATTCGCGGTGTTTCCGCGGGAATCCTCGTAGATTCAATTATTAATATCAATGCGTTAATACTAAAACCCTCCAATTAACGTTAACGTCTATGTCGATAATCGCTCCAACCGGAGCAATAGCGAAATTACGCGATCGTAATCACGTCCGAAATTAATCGCCCCGAACTCACATCCGTTTTACGTCCGCTAGCCTCGACTTCGTCCGCTGCCGGAGATGTCATTTATTTTCATTCCATATTCCAATTCCAGGATCGGAAGATATAATACAAAGGCGCTTTTGTGAACTGTACGATTAGGAAATTGAAATCTTAATTCACTAATTCTTTATATATATGTTTAAGAGAAGTTTCTAGAGATAGAACATAAATTAAAAATCCGGAAAAATCACAATGATTCGCCATCTATAATGTGATTTGAAAAGAAAAAGTACATCGAAGATAAAACAAAAATGAAGATAAAATTAATAGAAAGAAATGTACAAACGAATACTGTACATATACATCTTCATGTCCGTAATTTGTTTCATTTCAACGGAGACTTTCACACTTGCTCCTGTCATTTGCTTCCGATTTCAGCGCTTTCCTTTTCTTTTCATTATACAGTAAAATTTTGAAACGTTTTTCTATAAAGTTTTGATTTTTTTCCTTCTCTCTCTTTTTCATCACCTATTCTTCTCCATCTCTTTCTTGTTTCCATTTGTATAATGACGTTAATAACGTGACGACTTTATAAATTACATTATATATGCAATTGTTTTAATTGTTCGCTAGTATTTTCTATTTTCTGTATTCATTTGTGTTATGTATAAGTTAGTAAAATTATTATTATTACTATTATACACAGGGAGTATCGAAAAAACTTTATTTATAGTTTGTAGTATCACTATGGGGCTTAAATGGAACGTATGATTTATGGAACTGCTATAAAACGGGATTCTCCGTAAATTCCGGGTCCGTGTTGCGTTTCGTCCTTAGTTCCTGGAAATGTTCCGACTACCACTATTATATTATTACTGTATATTACTGAACGGATTCGCTCAGCCATCGAAGGGCGATGATAAAAGTCGACATTTCACGCTTCACCGAGTCACCACTGATTTCCGGTGGATGTGACAGAACTTCTTCTTGAGAGAATCTTTCATCCATGGGAGGGTATGTACTGATAGTAGATTCGGTGACCACATCTCAAGATATATTTTCCTTGCAAAAATATATCGTTGCTCTGAAACTGTTACAATTATTAATAAGATTATCATTTCTTTTATTCTCCGAGACGCCACAAACAAATTATTTAAAAATCCTTTATTCAATAAAATAATCTGAACGCAATGTCACTTTCGAACATCAGGGTGAAATTTTCAATAGTCATTTGCACAATTTGAAATATGTAAGTGCTTTTCTTCTTTTTCATCCCTTATCCAGAGAACCTATTTCCCAAGCGTGCGGGCGGAAACATATATTATTTCTGAGAACTCTGGTTATCTGGAGAACTCACGTTATCTAAAAACATTATACATATAAATATAATCTGTTTTCCTACAAAATTTAGATTATACCACCTATATATACATATATATATATATATATATATATAATATATATATATATGTGTGCATGAGACTTTTATAAAACCACACATTTGCATTCTAGATTGTAATTTTAGCTTAAACTTAGTATGTCACTCACGTCTCATTAAATTAAGAAGTTAATTTTTTTCAAAAAAAAAAAAAAAAACATTTTTCGTACTGTAATGTAATAATGAGAAAGGAATCAACTTTTCACGCTGTAAAAATTATTATCCAAGCTTTACGTTGTCACGTAAAATCCAATTGAAACGCAGTCGGAAGTATCGACATGCCTTTGATTGATACTTGGATACCGGAATTAAAATCGAGCTTCCTGTACATGAGAGATCTGTTTTTCCAAGTGCGCGCAGTTATTCCATGATATCGGGGGGGAGAAAAAAAGCCGCGCGAAGTTACAGGACGGTACCCCGTCTAATCGTTGTTATGTGGAAAAACTCAATTTTCTAGCCGAGCGCGTCGCGCTCGCGCGGATCAGCTTGATCCCATCGTACCCGCAGAAGGACCACGGAAGAATCACACGCGTTTACCGAGGGAAAAAAAAAAAGAGAGATGTTTACAATTCTCTCCTCCTACAAGTCCCGTTCACGCCTCGGGGCGTTTTGACATGCAGCATGGAAATCCGCGTGGCGGATGCGCGCAACGGTTCACACACATATTTAATTCATTTCCGCTTTCTCCCGAGGATCGACAGCGCGAGGGGGAGAGGAGGGACGCGGGAGGTCCCGCCGCGAGCCACGCGGAAAAGCGCACGCTTTTTCCGATCGTCGCTTTCCATTCTCCGCTTTTTCCCATGTGGCTAAGTCCCGTTAAACCGACGACTTTTTGCTTATTAAGAACTTTACTGAATCACGTTTGGGTTCCTGGTCCCGAACGTTCCTGCGCTGTGGCATGCGCTCTCGTCGCAATTACGTATACTCTGCATGAAAATAAATCGCGTTTGATATTATGCGAGTAGCACCAGGTATAATCCTTCTAGCAGACCCAGCAGATTTCCTGGCAGAAATTTGAAATCTATTTCTTCGCAAGATTTATCACGCATTTTTAACGCTAAATTATCTTAGATCATTGAGTCATGTGATCCGATTAAAAGAAATTGTGAAAATTCTATTGTATTTATGTCTGTTAATATTTAATATTTTATTTATTTATGCCGCCAGGCTTGTTCACATGTCCTATTTAATGCTAAATTCAGTCGTTTAATTTTCAACTAAAAATAACATGAAATGAGTCACAAAAAGATAGAATGTATATGATTTTCATTTAAATTAAACTCAAAATCAGAGATGACCAGATTTGCTTAAAGCCGAAGCACAAAATACAGATATGGAAGTTTATTTTGCACCGAAATAAACGTATCGCATAATCAACGAAATGAAAGCGAGTTTATGCATTTATGTGTTATAAATTTAAACTTGTTACAATTTTAAACTCCAATTTTTATTATTCAATGTTCATACAATGAGATCTCACAGCAAAAATGAAATTATATATTGCATGGCGATACAAAAATATATCTCTCTAATACTACTACACGCGCCTCACGCGCGACTTAAACAATAAAAAGTAGAAAATATCGTGCACACTACTGTACACATCGTAAACTATACGGTAACACGGACCTGTGATATTTCCTATGCCTTTCACACTTAGAGCAGTCTATTAAACGGACGCTCTCGCCACATAGCGAGCGTACAAATCCTCGGGATAAATAAAAGAGAAAGAAACAATAAAGAGAAGGAGAGAAAACAAACGAGTATAAAATTATGAAACCTAAACGATATTAAATATCTTTGCGCGTAACAAATTAAACGTCGCTTAACGTGTTATTTGTACATTGAGCTAAATTCGACGGCGTGTCTCGTAGGAAATCTGTCCTTTTTTAAATCATGCCGACGAATGCGAACAAAAATTAAAAAAAAAAAAAAGAAAAAAATGAAAAAATACAAAACAAATAACACATTTCTGATCACGCACAACAACTTCGTCCATCGGACGATCGTAAACTTATTCTAATAAATTTACCCTAGAATTACCGCAAGAATAAAGCGGAGATCCCATCGTGGCTCATTTCGATCGAGCATAGATTTAGCGATATTCTTACAGCATGCTTTATATTATAGTGAGTCCAGCTAAATACAAGCTGTATTTGATGCGCTAAATCTATTCTCGCATTACTTACCAATTTTTCGTCATCCGCGACCGTTATGGCAACAAAAAAAGAATCCACGTTCGTTCGTACGGCCGATGGTCGTAACGAACGACAGAGATACAAATGATGCCGCGAGGTGCTCCCGCTTTGCGGTGCGTAAAAGAGAAATCGAGTAGTATTAGTAGCATTAAACGTGTTCGGCACACTCTTGCGTCAAAGAGCATGACTCTGGTTTAATCTCGACGTTGTCGCCGTTCATTTTCACGGGCGAACCGGACGTTGTGGTATCAGGACTGTCGTGGCCCGAGTCACTTTTGTTATTATTCTCCTTGTCATCGCTTATCTTTTTCTCGTTTCTTGACTTGATACCTTTCTTCTCCGGCGTTCTACCTTTCGGCTTCTTCTCCGGATCGAAATGGCGCTCGAGGATAATCATCAGATCCTCCATCCTTTTCTCGTCAACTGTCGGGAGTTTCTCCTTCATAAGGTGCTCCAGTCCATCCTTCTTTGCGTTGGTCCACGCATCCTGAAACCGCGAATGATCGATAAAGAGATTCATCATAAATCGAGTCTTCCATAGCGTGACACGAGCTCAAACATTTTTATCGATTCTATCCAAATTGAATGTTAATTCGCTCTCCGGATGATATATCTTGACAGCGGATCAAACGTTTTACGAGGGAAACCGAGGAAAAAAAGCGAAAACACGTTCGCTTGATGTCGCGTGGCGTAAACGAGCCTGATTGTTAGGACGCAATTAATCATGCGTAGACGGACTCACCTGTAGCTCCGAGTACACGATTCCGGCCTCAGCTAACAGTCGCCGCAGGGGACTAGCGTGTTGACGTTCGCGGCGATTCATACGGAACAGTGCGCTGAATATGGGCCGTAAATTGTTCTGCCGCTCGAATATCATCTTTAGCTCTGCAAAAAAAAAGTTATGCACTGCGTTGACTTCTCATCTCGACAGTTGCTAACTTGTGGCTTTCAAATTACGACAAATTTGGGTAACTTAAACTATTTGCTTAAACAAGAAAAATGAAAATCTAAAATTTAAATATATTAAAATAAAATTATTCATAATTTATATTTATTTATTATTAATAAATAAATATAAATAATAATTCACAAATATATCGTTACACAAATAGAATCGTTTTATTTAATAAATCTTTTTGAAGCAGAATTGCAAGTAATTAACCTTTTGTTGAAAAATATAAATATGAAAGTACTATATTTGTACTGTTATTAGATATTATTTTTTATTGTCAATAATCAAACAGCTAAGACTGTCAAATGAAAAGGATGTTATAATCGAAATTACGTAATTTACTACGCATTTAGTAGTATATATATATATATATATGTATATACCATTGTGTTCTTTTTCTTCGATGTCAACAGGCTGTGCGAATTCTCGAATACACTCGACTGCTCTTTTCATAGCTTTTTCATTGTCATTTTCGCTCTCGCTCGCATCTTCGGTCTTCTCGCTGTCGATCGAGCACAAGTATTGTGCTATTTGTAACGCCAACGACGCTCGATGTTGCGCATTGCCCAGATTCGCTTCCTTCAAGCATATTCACAAATATGTATCATTATGGAAAGATTACATATTACTCGTTATCATATTTTTTCATAAAATCATTTACACACAAATATATTTACTACACAAATATATTAATATTTATAAACATTTTTTTATTTCGCATATAGAGAAATAAAAAATGTAAAACTTTGAGAGAAAATAGTTTTTCTCTCAAAAACAAATCTTTATTCAAATCGAGAATTATGTTTTCTGTTTTACAATCGGACGAGTTTAGAATTATTAATTTGTTTTGTTAAATGTTATTTTTAATGTCCACAATCGATATATATTTTTCTTACCTTCTTCAGCAACGTGCGCGATAAAGTGCGAAGAGAATAAATGTGCGCCGAGTTCGCGCATTTTTCTTCGGCTATGTTGAATCCGTTCGCGAATCCTTTGACTGTCTGTTTGAATCGATCGACTAAATCGTACTTCTTCAGCGATTCAAGCAGCATCGCGGGAATAACCTTGCGTGGCTCATGGTAAACCAGAATTACACCGTCCGTGGCGTTTTCCTTCATAGTTTCTAACCAGCTCAGAAAGTCTGTAAGTGCTGACACTTCGCTTTTGGATTTGATTACCTAAGAGAACAAGTATTTTTCTTATATGCACGTGTATTTTTATAAACAAAAATATCAGCAATTTTTACTATATTCATATAATGCTTATGTGCTGTGTGTAATTAAAAAAGAAGGTATCAATGTTTGATTTCTTTTGATACTTGATAGACTCTTCCTTATTATCAAAGAAGAAAACAAGTTGCTTTTATAAAACAAAATAACAATTATTCATATAGCCAATTAATTATAAAATTATATTTAAAAATATTCAAAGCTCGTTCTAATTTAAATTTAAATTGAAATCTAATTTACTTTAATTGAAATTACTAAAAATTTTTTACATGTTTATAATTAATTAATTATAAAATTATACTTAAAAATATTCAAAGAGCGTTCTAATTAACTTGAAATTTTAATAAGAAAATTCTTTGAAAATTTTTAAAACATTTAGAGATTAACGATTGGCGGCATGGATTTCCTTGCCCTCAAACGGGAAACAAATCAATAACAAAATGGCAACAATCTCACGACTTTGCTTCGTACCTCGTTGGTCTTGCTGTTCCTGAGCACGCGGAATTTGCCATTGGTCACAACCTTCATGCTATGACGTTTTATGGCGGTCGGATTGAGATCTTTGTATGGCATCACGTACTGGGAATAAGTGGCGCTGGGAGTGTACGCGGCTATTTGGCAGATCTCGTCGATGACCTTCTTGCCGGTGGTGTCCATGTCCCAGCCGACCAGGCGATAATCGCCCGGCGCAATGCCCATCGCGCCGCATGATTTTTTCACCGGGCTGGCTTCCGTCACTGTCGAGGATACCATCGTTCACGGAGTCACTTTCCTGAAAAGTGCAAACGTCTGCGTATTCCTCGAGTTGATTACCTCTTTCTCCAACGTCGTCTTCGCGCCTCCAAGGAACCCGGGGGCAAGAAGATTCCGAGGCTCTCGCGACGTCGATTAATTCGGAGAAAATCATAGATAAACGCACGAAAGCAAAAATAACATTTTTTTTATACAGATAAGAAAAGATAATGTTCATACCAGAGTATCAATGCTGAAAAAAATCCCAGAAGTACAGTAGTAAATATCTTTTATTGAGAAAAGATTAAAAGAACTAGATTTTTATTGAACATACTCAATTTAAAAATATTATTATGAGTTTTATCGCTATGTTATATTATTGTTATATTATTGTATTTAAAGCTCATTTTATGTGTAACATTAATTTTAAAGTTGAAATAAAAATTTTTTGAAAAGTGATTTATTGTTTGAGTAAATTACACGGTCAGATGTATTTTGTGAATTTAGGTTTCTAAAAGAAACTTTCTACAAGTTTTCATTTGACTATATGATCAACAGATAATCAGACTTCGTCACCTTTGTTTTGTCAACCTTGAAGCTTACAGTACATTCCGCGATAATGTAAACACGACCTAATTGACGAAGAATAATATCTTGAACCATCATTCGAACTAATCTTGTCATCGAACGTGTTATAACGATACAAATATCTCGTCTTCATATATTTTGGCTCGCGTCCACCTAAACGTCACGATGTTTCCACAAGTTCTCACGTATTCTGTTACAAAAACTTGCGAAACCATTAGATAAATCTCGAAATTAGAATTACTTGAGTTTAATAAAGAAAAGTTTGCGAAAGACTTTCCTTTTATGTTCCATCGATGACTGAAATGTCTGTTTTTATAGATGAATTAAAATGCATAAATCAATCTAAAATTTTAAAGATTGTTTAAAAAATTTCTGACTTTTTTCAATTATAAAATAATCTCCTAACCTTTGTTATCTTTAATTCATTAATCAATGGAGGAACAAGATGTGTTTATAGTTAAGTATTATAAAAGTATCTTGTAATTTTTAATATTAAAAGATAATAGAATGTATTTGCATGTCAAGAATATTTACGTAGAAATTTCTAGAGATGACATCATTATTAATATACATTGGGTTTTACCATAAAAATGAATCATTAATTTCATTACATTTTAAGATTATATATATAATGTTAAACATAATTCTGTCGATTACCTTAACGATAATATAATAAACAACGTAAAGAAAATATGCAATATATATGTCAAAACTGTCATCAGTTCTCATTTTTGTGAATTGTCTGATCGATTCGATCCATCCTTTTTCCAACATAAATTCAAAAGAATTAGTAGCTTTAGAATTAGTTTTCTAAGTTATAAGCGGATTAAATCTCGCCGAAGGATATCATTAAAACCTTATTTCACAGCCAATTCCAAGTCCATTTTGAATCTAATAAAACTCTCATCAAGGATTATTTTTGGATTAAATAAAAAAATTCTTTTTCGAAAAAGAAGTCGATAAGTTTTTTTCGTTTTTACGAGTTTTTTCGCTTTTAAAGTGAAACAAGTTAATTATAAAGAAAAAGAAAGAGAAATTGAGAGGAAAGGAGAGGAGAGGAGAGGAGAGGAGAGGAGAGGAGAGGAGAGGAGAGGAGAGGAGAGGAGAGGAGAGGAGAAGAGAGAGAGAGAAGAGAGAGAGAGAGAGAGAGAGAGAGAGAGAGAGAGAGAGAGAGAGAGAGAGAGAGAGAGAGAGAGAGAGAGAGAGAGAGAGAGAGAGAGAGAGAGAAGTAGTAGTAGTAACGTAAGTTACGTACGTACGTACGTAACGTTAACGTAACGTTACGTTACGTAACGTTACGTACGTACGTACGTACGTTACGTACGTACGTACGTACGTACGTACGTACTACGTACGTACGTACTAACGTACTTACACACGTACACACACACACACACACACACACACACACACACACACACACACACACACACACACACACACACACACACACACACACACACACACACACACACACAATCAATTTCGTGATGCATCACGGAAGCGATGCAAAAAAAAGAAGTGAGAGACATTTTTCTACCTAGATTTGCGTAACGTCCGCCGCTCTTCTCCCACATTCAAATAATCCCGGCACTGCTATATGAATACACCGACGATACGGAACACGATACGCGAAAGGCATACGATTAAACACCACGAATGCTGATTCGCAATGTGACGGACGTAAAATGTGCAACGTACGTAAAGACAAAAGCGAGAGCGGCGAGGAGGAACCGAACCGGAGATAAGATGAGGCGAGAAAGAACGGAGCCGAGGCGCGTCTTCTCGCACGTAGTCGCGACGCGAATGACAATCGACGATTGCCTCTCTCGGCCACGTGGTCGTCCTCTCGCGTATGCTAACAAAAGACAAGATATCGCGCGCGCGCGCGCGCGCGCACATGCAGATGGATTCCGTCGCTAAGAAACCGTTCCCTCGCAGCAATCTGATAACAAGAATGCAATGAAAACGCGTCGTGCTCCAGACATTTGGGATCCGAGTATTTTCGCAGAGCGTTTCATTAAACAGATGTAAATAATAAGCTCCGGTAGCGTTGCATGTATGGCCGGATTTATCTTTTTGATTCGTAAATCCGAACGATACTCAAATTTATATTTAAAAATGTCCATAAGTCACAAGCTAATGTTTTCTTGAAGAAAATAATGAAAATGTTAAAAAATCTAAAATTTTTATTTTTATTTAGATATGCGATGGATTTTTCTTTAATTTAATGTGAATTTTGATAAAATTTATTTTTTAAATCTATCCCATATTCATAAAAGAGTTTGCCTTAATAACAGTTTACAAAGAGATCGTCGATCAAACACGAAGGTCGAGGAAACAGGTCGAATGTTATTATGTTTATCCCTGTTAGACCTTCCGATATACATTTCCATCATCCACGGCAAAAACCCAAAGGTTAAATTGCCGTAAATAAGACACAAGATCTATTCAAATTCTGAAAATTCACGTGAAATAATAATTAAAATCGTACGTGTAGTTTATTAAATGATTAAAATTCCGCGACACTTGTTTGCGCATCGACGACTTTGCGTGACACTTTTGCACATTTTTTTGCGATTGAACAGGACGATCTATGATCTAACAGTGGGATATCTAATCGCTCGAGATGCATTTTATGTGATCGATAAAAAAGCGTAGCTGCGCGTTTACTTGGATTGCGCAGAAAGTGGTCAGATATTACAGACCATATGTTGCCAATTAACGACTGCAGACTTCCTTTTAGAGGTGTACAACACTGTTGTAAGGATAATTACTCCAATACCTTTTCCTTTTAAACAAGAAATTGCACGATCATGAATATCGCTAGCACAATGCGACGCAATTAGACGCCGTTCGTCAAACCAACATGTAGAGTTTTTAAGAACGACAACAAATATGTTTACTTTTTCGAAAGTCAACGACATAGCCTACCAGATCACCTTGACGCGATTAGCAATCGGTTTTGCCTTGATTTAATAAACTTTTCAGCAGTTGGAACCAAGGAAGACATGCGAGAGTTGGTTAGATTTATATCTCGGATAACGTCTCCGCGTGTGTCGTTTTATAAATGACATTTTTCGAACATAGGAACAATTTTCGTTGTTGTCTACACGTAACTAGCCATCGTTATTCCTTCAACGAGCCGCGTTTTTCTCACCATCGCGAAATTACCGTTAGCCGTAATCACGTGAACGTGCGCATTCCAAGTGCACGTGGTCATCGCGCGAACAAAGGCGCGCACGGATTGGCTTCCGT